AAAAAAAAAAAAAAATTGTAATAATAATAATAATTTAATGTAATATTTACTTTTTCATCCTTTGTGTAAGGCTGAGTGCTTCACCCCTAAAATAAAGCTCAGTTAAGAAATAAATGAAAATCCAGTAACCTATTGGTGAAATGTAACCACTTCCAGCTTCTACTAGCCCAGCTTAAAACAGTACCTCATCACACTACACAGCGGTTTAGCCAAGAAGAGGGAGTCTTCATGTGGACGCTGGGAGGGAAGGGATTCCTTCAAATCCAAACTTTAAAGGATTTTAAACAAACGAAACATTTGGTTCAAATTTGTTATTGGAAAGATCAGATTTTCTAGGTAATTTGGGGGAGAAAAGATAAAAGGCAAAGCCTTGCTTTGACTGACAATTCCATGAAAGTGCTATTTGGTTTTGGTTATGGGCTTAGAAAATTGAGACACTTAGTTCAATTTGGAAGGATTCTGTGTAAGTCCCTGATTAAAATAAGCAAAAATGATGAATAACACTGATTCAGTACAACCGAAAGATTAGGATTAACTCAAAAGAAAGTTATTTTCTAAACCACCATGTTTTTTTCCACTGACAATTACAGTGGTTTTCATTAGGTTGCTAGCACATGAAGTCAGCCTCACCATCAATTGTAAACTCTACACCAGCAAAATCTATTATAGAGACATACTTATCACTTCTGATTTAGTGCTCATCTCACCCAGCTCATCTTCTCTTGTCAGATTTATGAGATAAATGTCAGATTTATCACCAGATATATTGAAAGTAACAGCCAGTAATAAAATGTTGAGATTTTAAAAAATAGATTCTTTGGCAAATTGGTGTCCAGTGAGGCAATTATTAAACATTTTTGTCAGCCAGATTCCGGGCACTGTACAGAAGCCGTTAGGAGTTCTCGCCATCTACAAATTGGATTTGATGTATCACTTTCTCATTAAACTACGTGTAACACATTCTCATTTATTAGCCCAGAGTTTACTGCGGGGAAATGGAAGAGGACAGTCCTTTTTTACCTGTTAGAGAAGTGGGATTTAAAAGGCTGTGGTTGCTTAGTGTTGGTGGTAGCAGACCCCAGCAGTCTTGATGCGCTGCACCACTTCTATCCTGCCACCGCCTGGGGATGCAAAGAATGGATCTCAGGGTGACAATTTTCTTGCGCACGACTGCCTGGCCAAGTGCCTCCAGAAAGCTCCTTCCTTCCCCCATCTCCACCCAGGCCCACTTGTCACCTGAGCTTAACACCAGCCTGCACAGTCTGTGGCCACCATACAGGCAGTGGGAGAGGGAAAGGGGAGGAGGGTGGGAGGAAAAACCCCTTTCTATGCCTCTCCTCATCTGTTCTTTCCTCCTCCCACCTCTGGGCCTCCACCCCCCGCAAACAGAGACAGAAAAGATGGAAGAACAGGTGGGACCTGCACCCTCCTGCTCCAAAGCCTTCATCCTGGTGGAGGGGGATGGGAAGGTTTATCTCATTTCAAGAGACTCCTCCACCTCAGACTGACAAAAGGGCAGAGGCCTGGCAAGAAGAAAGGGCACCCTGGGGAAGAAGGGCATTGAAATAGCACCTGCGGCTGGGCGCGGTGGCTCATGCCTGTAATTCCAGCACTTTGGGAGGCCGAGGCAGGTGGATCACGAGGTCAGGAGTTCAAGACCAGCCTGGCCAAGACAGTGAGACCCCGTCTCTACTAAAAATACAAAAATTAGCCAGGCATGGTAGCAGGTGCCTGTAATCCCAGTTACTTGGAAGACTGAGACAGGCAACTGCTTGAACCGGGGAGGCGGAGGTTGCAGTGAGCTGAGATTGTGCCACTGCACTACAGCCTGCGCGACACAGTGAGACTCCGTCTCAAAAGACAAAAACAGAAATAGCACCCGCCCCCACCCCCTGCCCGCCCTCCTTCCCGCCCCCATCCTGTCCTAGTCTTCACTCAAGTCCTCCGCTCAGAGGAAGCCCTGCTCTACTGAAAGCCACGGGGCCACTCTCGGTGGCCTGGGACAGCAGCCCAAGAAGTGGGCTTCTAACTCTCTCCGAAGGGCCACAGCAGCAAGCATAAATAAAAATTGTAAAATGATCTTAAATTCTAAATTTAAAATTTGGAAAATTTAGTGAGCACAGCTTCTAGGGGGCATGTTTCCAAAATTCCAACCACAAAAGTGCAGTCTCAAAACCGACTGTAAACTGAACGTACCATCTTATCTGAAACACAGCTATTGTTCACAAGTGTCAGTGGAACTTTCCTTCCTTGAGACGGATCAAAAATGTCAAACAAGATGACATTTGCTGATTTGCAGGGTTCAGGCAGATAAGATACAGGCAGAGTTGAGGGTGTGCCTTTATCGTTAAATTCAGGAATAACAAGAAAAACATAGGATCACAGGGTACCTCCCACTTGTCTCATTTGGTATCATTATTTCCAGAGTCCCAATTGCTAGTCATGTCTAACACTGGATTTATCATCATCTCGTTGCTAGCATGGCTAGGAAAGCTTTGAACATCCTTATAGTTCTGTTTTAATTCCTATTAAAATTGCATGGGGAAGTTCCAAGGTGGAGGAATTTTCTTTCTTTTCTTTTCTTTTCTTTTTTCTTTTTTTGGTAAAAGGCGAGTTGGCTGGGGGCAGTGGCTTACGTCTGTGATCCCAGCACTTTGGGAGGCCAAGGCGGATGGATCACCTGAGGTCAGGAGTTCAAGACAAGCCTGGCCAACATAGTGAAACCCCATCTTTACTACTAAAAATACAAAATTAGCTGGGTATGGTGGTGTGCACCTATAGTCCCAGCTCCTGGGAAGGCTGAGACAGGAGAATCACTTGAATCCGGGAGGCAGCAATGAGCCGAGATCGCGCACTGCACTCTGGGCGAGATCTGCCACTGGGCAAGACAGAGCGGAACTCCGTCTCAAAAAAAAAGAGAGTTGATGTAAATTTGCTGTTATAATTTGACTGTACTGTTTCTTGCACATGTTGTCATCTGTAATGACTGGAGTTTATGAAAATTTTTGATGAGTAGGAGCGTGCCATTAACAGAGAGAAATTTTATCAAAAGATTTTTAAAGTTCCTTCGGAGTCCAGACTTTGACTAAATGTAGTATGATTTATATCAATGTTGCATACAAAAATATCAAACAGTAATTCCCAGCTGAAATACAAGTATCAATCAGTTGCATAACAACGCAAAAATCATTTTGTTTAAAGTTAATTTATAGCAAATAAGTACTGTCATAGCATAAGCATGATGATACTTTACAAAGGAGAGAGTGGAAAGGACATTGTAACTAATTGATCAAATAATTGTTAAAATTCAAGTTTATTAATACTTTTACTTCTGTCCATAGGGATCCATTATAATTGGGCATATTGTAAACTTAACTGCTGATGATGAGGTCCTTTTGCTATTAGAAATCTGTTTTTTATTTTTTTAAATTACTTTTTGGAGACACGGTCTTGCTCTGTTGCCCAGGCTGGAGTGCAGTGGCGAAATTATAGCTCACTGCAGCTTCAACCTCCTGGGCTCAAGGAATCCTCCTGCCTCGCCCTCCTACCTCACCCTCCTAAATAATGGAAACTGCAGTCCTATATAAGCACGCCTAGCTAATTTTTTCTTTCTTTCTGTTTTTTTTTTTAAGTAGAGATGGAGTTTAGCTGTGCTGTCCAAGCTGATCTCAAACTCCTGGCCTCAAGTAATCCTCCCACGTCAGCCTCCCAAGTGCTGGAATTACAGGCTGGAGCCACCATTCCCAGCCTAGAATGAAATATCTTTTGCTAAATTACAGGGCTGGGTGTTGTGTCTCATGCCTGTAAT